TGATTGAATATGACATTGGTTTTTTATGGAGAGATTTTAAAGGGCAGTTATTGTTGATGATAATGTGTTGCTTCCAAGGCCTTTTCTAGTTTTATCTTGCTTGTAGGACCTCTTATGATTTTGACAATTAGTGTTTGATTTGATTATATTGTATCTGCTTTCAGATCTCTGCAGTTACCCGAATCAGAAATGCATTGGCATTTGCAACCCACTCATTTTTCCATAAGCATGGATTTCTTTATGTGCAAACTCCAATTATCACCACCAGTGACTGTGAGGGTGCTGGTGAGATGTTTCAAGTCACAACCTTGTTTAGTGAAGCTGAAAAGTTGGAAAAGGATCTGATTGAGAACCCTCCTCCATCAGAAGCAGACATAGAAGCTGCCAAGCTTATTGTCAAGGAGAGAGGAGATGATGTTGCTCAGCTGAAATCTGCTAAAGCAAGTAAGCAGGAAATTGGTGCTGCTGTGGCTGAGCTTAAAAAGGCAAAGGATAATGTCTTAAAGCTGGAGGAGCGATCTAAGCTTAAACCTGGTATCCCTCGAAAGGATGGGAAGGTTGATTATACCCAAGATTTCTTTGCCCGTCAAGCCTTTTTGACTGTTTCTGGCCAATTACAAGTCGAATCTTATGCGTGTGCTCTTAGTAGCGTCTATACATTTGGGCCTACTTTTCGAGCTGAGAACTCCCATACTTCAAGGCATTTGGCAGAGTTCTGGATGGTGGAGCCAGAAATTGCATTTGCAGAACTTGAGGTGCGTGAAACTTTATTGCGGTTAAAGATGCATTGCGTACTTTAATGTTAGGTTGTATATATGTTTTCTATGTTATATCCCAGTGTTATGCTTCGGTCACCTACACTTAAGAACATGTTTAATTCAACAATCTAGCTTAAGCTTCTTAACAGCCTTCCTAAACTCTTTTGTTCTGTTTTAATTCTTATTTGTTCTTGTGTCTTCGTTTGAACTTTGAAGTATTGTTAAAACACCCCTCTTACTCACTGGTCACTGTTGCTAGAGATGAATTATCTGCAATATAATGGCAACTTTCATGTCAAAATGCTATGTAGATGCAATAATGTTAATATCAAAATCCTCAGCATTAGGTTGACTTCGCTACAATACAGATTTTACAGTGGTCCAAGAAAATGACTATCTGGCCTTCTTTTAGGATTCTTTATTAGAATTAATATCTGCTTTCTAGTATCCTTAATTTGAAGTATTGTTAAAGGTCCTTTAATTTAATTGTTTAGTTGGTTGTCGGAATTCAATTCTCTCTCTCATTTTTTTGAATGCTTTGTAAGATTTAGAGAATGGTTTGTTTATCGTGGGAACATAAGAGTTGTATTCATGAATTTTTGTATTTTTGAATCCTACTGTCATGCAGATGTCTTACAGTTTGTGTATTCATGTAGGATGATATGAACTGTGCAGAGGCGTATGTGAAATTTCTGTGTCAGTGGTTACTTGACGACTGCAGGGAAGACATGGAATTTATGGCTGACAAAATTGATAAAACTTGCATTGATCGTCTAACAATGGTTGCTAAGACACCCTTTAAACGGATTACCTATACAGAAGCAGTAGATCTGCTAATTGATGCTGTGAAAAAGGGCAAGAAGTTTGAGAACCATGTAGAGTGGGGGATTGATTTGGCATCTGAGCACGAAAGGTAGTCCCTTAGAATTAGTCTACTGGTTTGTCTTATTATGGTTACTTATTAAATTGACCTCACTGATTCGTTCTGGTTTTGTGCAGATACCTGACAGAAGTATTATTTCAAAAACCTGTTATCGTTTACAACTATCCTAAAGGGATCAAAGCATTCTACATGAGGCTCAATGATGATTTAAAAACAGTGGCTGCTATGGATGTTTTGGTACCAAAGGTGGGCATTATACTTTGAACTTTGTATCGTTGAGTTCACTGCTCTGTTGCATACTTTAGCATTGTGTATCTTTCGCTTATCATTTATGTTTTTTTTGTATATTTTCAGGTGGGAGAGTTGATTGGGGGAAGCCAAAGGGAAGAGCGTTACGATATTATTATGAGCAGGTATTATTTCATTGGTCTGTTTTAGTGATCTTATCTGCTGTTGTTATTATTGTTATATTATTTAATTTCTTTCCAGTGGAGACGTCTGCAGAATCTCTCTCCCCATACTTTGGAGTGCGTAGTTGTATTATGTAATGTTAAAATGAACTGACTTGCAGGATTGAGGAAATGGGTCTGCCCGCTGAGCCATACGAGTGGTACCTTGACTTGCGGCGTTTTGGGACTGTCAAACATTGTGGTTTTGGGTTAGGATTCGAACGAATGGTCCTCTTTGCTACCGGGATTGACAACATCAGAGATGTTATTCCCTTCCCTAGATATCCAGGAAGAGCAGATCTTTGAATTAGTCTATAGATTGAAAGGGATGCATTCGAATTAGTTGATATAGGTTCGTGTCCCCACTTTGCCTTTATCTACGTTAACTACAGTATTGGCTTATTATTATTCGGAAGAACTTAGAACGAAGAATTGCTGTTGTCAAATTGATTTCTTCTTCGAAAAGCAGATCTATTAAAAATGCCGTGTTTTGCGGATTCTTAACTTTAAATTGTGTTTCGTGTGATTTCCGGAGCTCAACTTTTATTTTGATTTCTTGCGTGTTGGAAGATTATGGATGCATGATTTGTTGCTGGTTGATGTATTTCTCCTCGATCGATTGTTTTTTAGAAAACTGACGAAAAGTTCAAAAAAACTTCTCTTTTAATGGAAAGTCTTTTTTTATAGGTATAGTGAATAGTATCAGATAAATATATAAATGTGGTTTTTCGTTAAAAGTCAATAGTATCGAAAATGTTTTGGTAAAACTCTCTTCTTTTTTTTGTGTGAGCATGTGAAAGCGTAACACCTAGCTCTTGAAACGCGGGTCAAACTTTTGATTAGTTATTTGGGAATTTTAACGAAAAGTTCTTAGTACTGTTTACTTCAACGAAAAATCATATTTTTATATTAAAAAGTCAATTTTGGTATTATTTATTTTAGTTTTTATTTTGTCCTTATCATTAAAACTCAAAATTTTCAAGTTCTTTTAATTAGTTTTCCTTAGTTATTTATGGCCCGCTTCCTCTGATGCATTTGTTTTTCAGTCCTTTCCTGATACAACACAATCAGCTGAAGACATTTACCAACAAAACCATAAGGTGCTTACGGGCAATTTAAACACTAAGGCCTTGTTTGGCACACCGTATAAGGCACCAGATAGTACTAATAATACGATGTACGGTGTTTGGTGCCGTTTGGATTAAATAGGCACCGGATTAAATAATCCGAGCCCACCTTTTTTAACCGGTGTTTACCTGCTTCGTTATACCGTCCAAATTCACCGTATAACTTAGTCGGCCTCGTCTCTTCCTCTCCGCTTGTTCTCGCTCTCGCTCTCCGCTCGCGAACTCGAGCCACTGTTTCTCGCTTTTCCTTGGCGTCGTCCCCGTCGCCTTTTGCCATCACCGTCCTCGTCGACTTCTGCCATCACCGTCCCCGTCGCCTTCTGCCATCGCCGTCGTCCTCCCCGTCACCTTCTCTCGCCATCGCCGTCCCCGTCGCCTTCTGCCATCGCCTGCAACTGCCGTCGCTTTCCTTCTGCCATTGCTTGCAATTGCCGTCGCCTTCTGCCATCGTCTTCCCTGTCACCTGCAACTACCTTCGGGGAAGAAGAAGAAGAGAGAGAGGGAAGGAGTTTGGGGGTGCAGCGAAGAGATCTGGGTTTCATTATTTGGGATTCTTCATAGTCGGGGAAGAAGAAGGGAGAGAAAGGGAGGAAGTTTTGGGGGGGGGGGGGAGAGATCTGGGAACTAGATTTTCAGTTGTTTGTTTGTTTGTTTTTTTGTTTTTTAAAACACTATATAAATAATACGATTATTAATTCGATACTGCACTAAACGTTAAACGTCTGATTAATTTAGTCAATACTGTTTAATGACTATTTATCCAATCCGACATAAATAGTCAGTACAATACAATCCGAGCTGCCAAACAAGGCCAGAGAGCATCTTCGTAGGAGATGTCAAAATCTTAGGTGGGATGTCACTGTGCATATTTAACATCAAAAGTCTATACAACCGAAGTATTATTTATTTATTAGATTTAAAAGGCTTTGTGATTAGAAGTCAAATTGGACATTAATGTCAGTTCATTTTAATTGTAGGTCCTTTATTCAACTAACATTCAATCAATAATTTTTTTTTAACAATTACAACCATTTAAAAGTATATTAAAATAAGAAAATAACATTTGATAATTCTGATAAGTACAAAATTTGACATAAGACATCAGATTGCCATATCAGCTATCAATTGTAATTTCACTCTTATAATTTGACATTTTCATTGAAGATGGTCTAAGATAACAGTATTGCAATCTTATCACTCCCCGTCAAGTTTTAGCTATTTCGTGCGATAATTGGTTTGGAACGCTGCTACATGGTTGTCCTAGTTACATACGTAGTTTTCCAAATGCGTCTCCCCTTTTCGTCTTTTACTCACATTCAGGACCAAAGGCCGAAAGAACAAGTCAAACTTGAATAGATATAAAAACATCCCCAAAGAAGCATGCAATGAGTTAGCGACTAATATGATATGGATATACTGCTTCAATGACATCTTGGTGCCAATGAAATAAAAAAAATTTATAGGATCTTGGTGCCAATGAAATAAAAAAATTTAGTTCATATATTCTCGTTGTACTGGCACAAGAGATCACATGATAATGTACAATTTCTATGTAAGTTGTTCTCCTACAATAAAATGATCGCTTATATGCACACATGCGTGTGAATGCACTTCTCCGTGTGCATCCCCAACTACAATAGACAAACGTACTACTATCTTTTGTTGTCTATCTCAAACTGTCTGAACTGAGCATCATCTCCCTATGCATTGCATTGGAGCCTCTTTCTCTCTCTCTCTCTCTCTCTCTCTCTCTCTCTCTCTCTCTCCTGACCACACTTCTTATCGTTGATCACCAATATTCTATCATGATCCCCTACTAACGAAACACTATGAACTTCTACTTGATTTTTCTCCTAATCCTTCTAGTCTCCCTCTCCCATGATCTCTTTGCTCACTCAAGTTTGGCCACAAGAAAAGTACAAGGTCTCTCTCTCTCTCTCTCTCTCTCTCTCTCTCTCCCTCCCTCTCCCGCACATATATTCTGATGAGTTAACATGAACCTGTGTTTGTTTCAGATGAGGATACCAAGACTAAGGTAGCAAGAGAATCATCAAATGATTTCCGGGTCAAGGTAACTACACAGAATACAAACTTGAGGACTACTATGTTTTTCTTCTCTCTTTCACACAGGCACTTCCTGATCTATTTCATGTCAATCATCAGCAGCTCTACTATTCATCATCTGTTGAAGGAAATCATCATCATGTCAAAAGGAAAGCGTTGCAGCTCTACTATTCATCATCTGTTGAAGGAAATCATCATCATGTCAAAAGGAAAGCGTTGCACGAAGTACATTCAGGAGCAAATCCTGTCAGTAATTCTATAAATTCCTCAGCGATCGAAGAAGTACCTAGTAATCGTATGACTCTTATTTTCTTTATCATATATGTTTCTTTCTTTGCATATTAGCTAGCTAGCTGGTTCAAATTGCATAAAGATTAATTTATCTTTCTTCTTCTTTTTTTCAAAGATACACTCTTCATTTCGTTCAAAACTAAAGTAATACTGTACCGCTTTCAACCCGACGTGAAGATGTCAATTCACGCACTGTAAAGTTTTTTAAAGTAGTGTGAATGACAAATTAAAGCACAAAAAATTACTTCAAGCACCTATTACTGTGGTTCAAATTCTGTTTGTACTATCATGTAATTTTGTTAGAATGTAAAGACAAGAAACCTCAATATCATTTGGTAGTTAGTATACTAGTTTCTTGTGTCGAAATTGTAGGCATACATACATACATACATACATATATATATATATATATATATAATAGCAAGTTTAGCTAGCATGCAACTTGCTCAGAAATCTACCTTAATAATTAGGTTTAAATCTTAACGTGGTACGTATACCAATTACGTAAAGCATTATAAGATTGAACTATAGGGACACTGACGGAGCCACAATTTCACCTGCCTTATCACTCTACTAGATCAAGAGTTGAGTGAGATACTCACATGAGAATATCCTTGTGATTGAACTAGAGAGGGTAGTGGCTGAGCCAAAATTGTATCTGCTCCATCACTCTACTAAATCGAGAGTTAAGTGAGATACTCACATGATGATCTCCTGATGGCACCAAAGCTTTCCCCCTCTGTACATGCTACTGGTGCACGATGTTTTGCATTGTGTAGATCATAGCGGCAGTAGTAATACCTTTGAAGAGATGATGGGGTAATGGAGTAGTGACTAGGTGGCCTAAGCGCCTGCTGATTGTGATTGATTTGCTTTAAGACACTGCAGGGTCAAAAGGCTAAGTTTTTAGTTGACCGATAATAATTCAAGAACCGAAAATAGTTATGTGAATTTGCTGTTCAGTTTGTGTTAAAAGGCGAATTTTTTTTTTATTGTGATGGGAATATAAGTGATACATCATTTGTTTTCATATAAGTGATGATAAATTTTATTTTTTAAATTATTAATTTTTTAACATAAATATTTCATCATTTATATAATAAAACATAGTGTATCACTCCATGTACCAGTTATACTGAAAAATCTCTCAGGCTAAAAGTTGCTATTTATTGGTTGAGAGGATCTCGAAAATGTTGTTGAATTAATTGGTAAATATTTTGTTGGTCTAAAAGCAGAAAAAAGATGAAATGACATTATGAAAAGTATGATTGTACAATTATGAAAAAGCAAACTATTCTTTTCATTGCTGTTTGCTTTGGGAAAAGTTTGTGGGTGATTTGATAAGAGAGCCAAATGGTCAGGAAAAAAATTTCATTTTACTCGGAATTATATTACATGTTATTATATAAATAAGATATTTTTTTATTTTTTAAGTTATTATTTTTTTTAACATAAATATCTTACCATTTGTATAATAACACGTAATATACGGATTATGTATTTCGGACCCATTAAAAAAAATTCCCTGTACATAGAGCATTTTCCTCTCTCTCTATTTTTCATTTTTTTTTATTTTGGTAATTTCAAATCGTTCGAGTCTCAACTTTTCTTTTCTTGATCATTCAAAGTCTCATCCATTGAGGTACAAAAACACCTATTTCTAATAACTTTTCTGCTACAAACAGGAAAAAAAAAATCATAAATGTAAGGAATATATAGGAAAGTAATCTCTTAACTCTATTACAAATAGGAGACTAAATTAATGAATATATTCCTAAGATATAATTCTGCATCAGAAGTGTCCTAACCTTTTGAGTCGACGGGATGTCATGTGCAGCTATACTTGTTCTCGTTGCGAGGTTTCAGTTCCCTCTCGACTGTTGAGAGCACGAATTCTCAAGAAGATCCTACTATGGACACAAATGTTTTAAAAGTCTTATATGATTTGGTAGAATAGTTGTTGGCTTCTAGTGAGTAGTTGATATAAGTCATCTTTGTCATCTGTTCATTGTTTGTGTTATATGAGCTTCAAATTGTTGTAGTGGTGTGTTGACATAACCCTCGATCAGTTGATGTTTGTAACCAATGCTTGTATTTCACGTTTTGTTTGATGGGCGCATACATATATAATTTGGCTTCAATCGGCCACAAACGTTCCCATTGAATGCACGTATAGTTTTCTTTCGTCAGCCCTAGTGTAAGCATATTATATGTCCACGTTGGTTGTAGTTTTGTGCATGAATGTGTACGTATGTCCCTATATACGGATTGAGATTCACTTCGGATCTTTGTGTCTATAGTGTGAGGACTAAAAGATCCAGATGACTTAATTTCGCCCATCTTACTGTCCCTGGCTCAATTCACAAAACCTCAAAAACTTGAATGACTTTGATCTCTACTTCTCTTCAACGATCCAAACTCTCATTCTGCAGCCTTCACAAATAGGAATGCGGAGTGTAACTCATTCCCTATGTACGACCCAGGGCCAGCCCTAAGGGTAGCAAAGGTAGGCGGTCGTCTAAGGCCCCCAAGTTCCGAGGGGGCCCCAAATTTTTTTATACGTCCTATATATAAAATATAAATAAAGAAAACGTAACAAGCATCAAGATTATTTCGTGGGTGCAGTGGAAACGGTTCCACTCCATTTTCATTGGGGTGGGCGGTTTGAAACACCTTGTATATGACATCCCACATCGCCCAGGGGAGTGATCCTTAAATGTATATTCTCATCCCTACCTAGCACGAGGCCTTTTGGGAGCTTACTGGCTTAGGGTTCCGTCGGAATTTCGAAGTTAAGCGAGAAGGGGGCCATAGCACTCCCAGGATGGGTGACCCACTGGGAAGTTGCTCGTGAGTTCCCAAAAATAAAACCGTGAGGGAATGGTAAGCCCAAAACGGACAATATCGTGCTACGGTGGTGGAACGGGCCCGAGATGTGGTGGACCCGAGCCGGGATGTGACTGACACACCCCGACCGAGGTTAAGGCATGTTGGCCGTCACGTGAGAGTGACGTAGCCATGTGCACAGTGCGGAAGCGATAAAGATAGCAAATACACGAATAATTGAAAACCAAATTACTAGAGTGCACTACTAAACGAAAGTGATAGGAGTTGGTTACAATAGTGAACACTCCTAATCAGAGTATAATAAGTCTAGGTGCAGTCCAGTAGGATAAGTACTAGTTACACAGTACCAGGAATGTCCTACTATTATTCAAATAGGTCAGAACTGTCGACGATCCCGAGCCACTAACAACAACTTACTTAGAACCTGGAGGGACGATCCCGAGCCACTAACAACAACTTACTTAGAACCTGGAGGGGCGCAAAACAGAAAACGTGAGTGGGCAAAAACAAATGTTTTACAAAAAAACATTTCATTTATCAACATACTAACCCCTCGCTGTAAAACATGTAAGATTTTCCCAGAATTCATAGCTCAAACTCAATCTAGCCGGAGTCACTACTATGACCTATACGGCAATATACTGCACATAAGTCGGAACCACTGAAAAGGGTCTATACGATAAGATTGGGTGAAATATTATTATGCTCAACTCTATTCTCTCATAATAGCTGGGCAATAGTTCGCTAGTCACCTACAAGTCGGAACCATGAATAAGGTTTGTACGACAAGACTATGCACTTAAGTTGGATCCAATATGAGCATTATAGTGCGGGAGGTGACATAAATAAACAGGCCTGTACTTCATATCTCTGGCTAATTCACAATCACCCTAGGGTGCAGCTTTATGAGCTCAAACATTACTTAATCACATATCACATATCACATCATTAATGATTCACACAACCAAACAAACATAATTTACCTGAACTCACATGTGCCTCCACAACACCACACTTTATAAATGTATGCAATCATGCAAGGCATATTCAAAATATAGAAGCATTTGGCATATTATTTCAAAGCATACTTTCTTTAAAAATGCATTTCTGGGAAATATATCAAGTGTATAAATATATACTGAAAACAAAAGCCCACTCACTGATAAGTCGAAGGGTCGTAACCCCCGAGTTGCCCGTGTATACGCTCGTCCTCGGGATATGTCTCACCTACATGCGAATTAACTATAAAAACGTTATTTTTAAGCACATATACAAAACTAGCCAATAACTTCTCATACATTGCTCAAAATGGGTGTATGAATATACCACAGTGATCTACACAACCTCAGGATCATCCCCATATTTTTAGAAAAAAATTTGGAAGCCTCCCGCGCCCCCACGCGCCGGCAATGGCACGGCCAGATGCGCCCCCCACGCGCGGCCATGTGCCAGGCACACTGACGGTGTCAATTGACGCCGTCAGGTATATTCCAGGAATATTCCGTTAATTTCTAACTGATACCGTTATATCTAACTAACGGTGTTGGAATATTCCGTCAAACTTGACGGAATATTCCGTCACCTTCAACCTTGGGACTCCGACGACCGTCGCCGTCGCCGGAAAACTGGGAATTTTTAAAACCTTGATTTCTCACTCATTTCTCAACCATTTTTCATGCAATTGGTACCAAAATGAAGCTAAGGACATCTACAATCACGTTATACCATTTTAAAGCTCTAAAAGTCACGGGATCTCACCGGAGAATTCCAAGACAAACCAGCCAAGCTTCGTCCACACGATCCCGACATCCAAAACCTTCAAACGAAGCTCTCCGAGCTTCCTTGAGACCTCACTAAGCTTCCTACAAGCTTGAAATTTCCAAAAACACGAGATTTAACGTTTGCATGAATAGTACCCCAAATCGGGGTTATGGTTTCAACGTGAAAATGAAGCTATCCTTACCTGAAAATGGTCTAGATGTGTTCCTGAGCTTGCAAGGAACACAATGGTGCCTTCAACATCCTCGATCCGTCATGATTCAATGGGTTTTGGGTTTGAGTTCGTACGGAAGAGAAGAGAGAGAGATAGAGAGACTCCTAGCGACAGAGAGAGAACACGAGAGGGAAGAGAGAGAAAGGAGAAGTGATATGTGTGGTCCAAACTAGTCAACACCCAATCAAAGCCAAAGTTTCTTAGTTCCTAAGTGGTTCCAAAAACTTAGGAGAATTTAAATAATTTCATTTCAAAACAAATCACACACCACACTTCTTAATGTCCAAGGGTAATCTAGTCTTTTCACATTAGCGATAAATATTTCTCGGGACGGGCTATGACATTGTAGGCGGCATTAGTTTTTGCTTTTTTCAAATCTATGAAATTAAAGATA